GATCTCCTTGCTACGTTTCTGGACCTTGATCGTGGTAATTACATTGCTGTCTATGGGAGGGTCAGAGATCTCTCAGAATTCAGCAAAAAGATCTTAATTTGTGTTCCAAAGATGAATGGAGGTCTTACGGGTTTGAAACGACATGAGGGTGAGTAATTAATGACAGAATTTTCATTTTTGGGTGAACTAACCCTTTAAGCAAAATCAGAAATGTTGATGTATAGATTTGAACTCACATATTTAGTCTACTTTTATTTTTTGATTTTGTGCCCTAGTGTCCTGGCGGCATTATGATGGTACCTTTAGGCTACTGATGTTTCTTGCCTCTGGATTATCGTTTCTTTTTCTAGACATACTTTTGTGTGTGTGTGTGTTTTCACTGGACAAGTGCATTATGTTTTGTTTATTTGTTAATCTCATATAAATGACTGTCTTTGGAGTGTTTTAATTGTATGGCGAAGAGCATTTGTGCTCAAAATTTCACACTTGTGTAAATCTGTCAATAAATTTCTACTTTTTGGAGCCATGGTGTACCGGCATGCTTTTTTTCCCCTCTGCTTTAAGTTACTTTAGGTGAAGCACCCACTTTGAGTTATTTGCTAATGATGTGTGTGCTTTCGGTTTGTGTTTGCTTGATAACTAACTGAAATAAAATACATTTAAAAAAAACTGAACAGAGAACTAAAGCTGCACAGAAATACATATTAAAGAATAATAAATATAAATAAAATTTTGAAAACTTAAACTAAAATTAAAATGAAAACTGAAAATATAGAAATAAAAAAAAAATACTGTAATAGTATACAAATTATACTAAAATAGCACTGTTTCCATTGTAGTAGTATATTTTTATTTAATGCCATGTCAGTATCTTAAGCTATTTTCATGGCAAAAACAATTAAAATAATACAAGTATAACAAATGCAATAAAAAAACAGCAAACAAACAAACACTAGTTACATTACAAAAGATTTTTTACATTAACATATGATAAAAATTCTAAAACGTTTTCTGGCAAAATTATACTAAATAACTCTTTAAGTGAGTTCACTTCATAAAAGAGTTTTCTACATACATTAAAAGCGGGACAGTCCAATAAAATATGTTTGACAGAAAGGGGAATCTGCAGAACATGCATTGAGTAGGGTCTTCACCTTTAAAGGCAGGGTATGTGATTTTTCAAAAACACTTTAGGTAGGGGCGTGTTTGTTTTGGTGATTTCAAATATCAACATTGGCTACCAGAAATCGCTTACTCTGCCTTTAAGCAAAGATGCATGAGTCAGTCTGATATGACCTACGCGACATCTGGTAAATACCACTTGATCAAATCTAGTTTTAAAAGAGATTAAAAATCTGTTTTTTCCAGATGGATTTCATGTAATTTATTATTTGTACATGTATCCCACTCTTCTTACTGTTTCCATTGTATAGTGGAATGACATGAGGGTGAGTTCGTATTTTTGGTGAACTGTCCCTTCAGCTATGAGAAAATAGTATCTAACTTACTAGTGTATTTACTTGTACTGATAGTAGACACAATGTTCTTTCCAAGCACTTCCTCTCCGAGCTGGTCGACAGCTTGTTGAAGAACCCCAATGCAAGACTGAGGTGTCTGCAGGCCCTCTGAGGCCACAGCAGTCGCTTCATTCCACCTGACCAATCCATCCAAAAACTCAATTTGGAGAAATGTAGAACAAGCTGGCACCCCTGAAATATAATACACAATGCCGTGAAATCTCTTTATATTTCACAAAGCGTACTAATGTTTCATACTGTGTTCAGACATTGTGAAAACACATCATCCTGCATACAATTATCATCACTCTCATTAAAAAACAATAAAACTGTCATTGCAAGCATTGCAACACTGAGCTACTGCAGTATAGACAGATATTTTGATTATGGCTATCTAGTTGTGATGTGCCACTTGCAACAGGCACACTGTTGACATAGCATTGCAAGTGTAGTGCCTTTTGAGCATAAGAGTCTAAAACAAACAAAAAAAATTGACTGATAATTGATTTACCTGGAATGAGCTGGTTCAGATGCTGGTGGAAGGATTCAATGGAGGTGGAACCTCTGAAACATTTGTAGGTTGGCAGAAGGTGGCCTCCCTTCACCAGTGTCCCAGTCTGCTCATACAGTTGTACACCAAGAGGATCCACTATACACGGCAAATGTTTCTTCTGGGAATCCCATATCTCAGCCATTATATTGGAACTGAAGAGAGGCACTCCTGATGAGTCCCATCCAGCCTCCCCATCATAGAGCCGAATGAGTGCTGTGATGAGTTCTTCGATCTCCCTTACATCACGCGTGGTTCGTCTACAGTGGAGGGCCAACTCGCTTCTGCTGAGGTGATGCATTAGTTCATCATCAGAAGGCTGGACGATATCGGAATTGAGCTCATTATGCTTCGCCTCCTTCAGCTGCTTCAGGTCCTCCTCATCCCATTCGAAAATACAATGGGTGAGGCGGTCCCTGAATGTCGCGTATATCTGATGGGACTCTGACGTGCAGCCCACAGAAATCCTTTGCATGAACTCCGAGATGTTCAACCTGACCTCCATGTCCTTCCACTCTTTGAATGCTTTTCTGAGAGAGTTGGACCCACAGCAGTCTCCATTGGCATACAGAACTTCAGGAGGAGCCTCTGCGGCTTCCTTGTACCTATTTATGACACCGGAGATCATCCCCTCAAGACCAGACTCTTTGTTTTCTGTAAGCACCGACATGATAACATGCCCGTGTTCATTGGCAACACTGGTCGTCCAAGTTCCTGAGAAGTTCCTGAGACACTCTTTGGTGGAACCCATCTTTAGCACACGACCAAACTTGGAGGTTATGCTGGCCTTGATCTCATTCATTCGGTGAAGTATGTCCAGGGCGAACACTTGCCTCAACCAACAATGTTTGGGAAGGGGAGGCATGGCGGGTGGATCTTGAAACTGTGCAGGATGGGCAAAGCTTCTGCAATCTGTTAGATACTGAACGGTCTTTTGCAGCCAAACCTCAGTGTGATGTTCCTCCATTTTCTTCTGGATTTGGGTGACGCTGGGCCCCAAATGTCTCTGACGGTTAAAGTGAACGACCTTCATGTCACAAGCCACCTGTGATGCAAGAATGCAAGGGAACTGGACTCTATGACCTATATCAAGTTGTGACACTACATCATGACTCCAGCTAATCCATTTCCGCTTGCATTTCCCACAAACCAGACGCTCGGATGCCATGAAGTATGACCCTTCCATGTCGACTACCTGCCTGAGCTCCTGATGCAGGCCTGCTGACGTGAGCTCTTCCTTCAGGCAGTCTGAATGTGGACAGATAAGTTTCACGTTCCACAGCTTTTGTGGCATCCAGAGGAACAATGCATGCCCAAAGTAGCATCCCATCTCTGGCTCTTCAGTTAAGGTAAGAGGTGGGGACGGCGGGTACCACCACATCCTATCCACCCTAGCATAGTCCATTTCAGGCTGCATCTCTGGAGACCACCTAAACAGGGCCTTTGACACCCATGTATAATCGGCAGGGGGCAAAGTGCGAATCCATCCCGAAGGTAGACAAATTATTTTACCTAAAACAATAAATACGATTAACTATTTGTGAACAAAAATTCAAAAAGAAGCAGAACCTTTAGATACTTACTATATACTTGTGACAGGAGCAGCTCAGAAGTTTGTTCAGGCGTGCAACACTGACCTCCGGACACCACCTTTGCTTTCAAGATAGGCAAAGAATTGCTTTGTCCCTTATCTGATCTGCTTGGCTTCATGACTTGAACAATGAAATAAAAAGAAACCACTCCTATAAGTAAAATAATGACAGTGTTCATATCATGGAATTTTCTGGAATCAAGAGTGTTGATACAGATAATTCACAGTTATGTTGTTAAGACAACAGTTAATTTATATCATTTAACAAACAACAGTCTCATATTGACAATGGCTCTTTATAGGTGCAAATTTCTGTTAATTAATTGATTTCAAATAGAAGTTGAGCACTTGAAAGCTTAATGTTTGAAGCACATTCTATCAATTAAAACTAAATCGCAAAACTGATTTGTGTGATTTTGTTATTTTATAGCAATAACCATTAACTAAATATTAATGAAATTAAAAAGGGGGACTCTCATTAAAGGTCAAGGTCAAATTTCACTCTAAAATCACAAGAAAAAAAAGAGATTTTGTTAATTGAAAGAAAAAGAAGCCTGGACTTTTAGATTATGACATTATTTTCATGACAATTAAGCACAAAAAAGAAAAGTGAAAAAACAACATCATGGTAGTATTTGTTGTACTGAATTTAAAATTATTTAGCATAGCAATGATTTAATGATACAGTTAAAAACTACTGTTTTCGTTATTGAAAACTATGATAATAGTAAAAGTAAAATGTCCAGATAGACAGAGTACTGGAGGGAATAACGTTTCATTGTACTGGAAACAAAATCTTAACAGGCTTAATATGAAGGCTTTTTTTCTAAAAAAATTTTGGTGTAAAACAGAATTTTTTTACAAGCTTTGCGACATTCACCAAAAGGTTGTAATATTATAGTTGTTACATCTTCAACAACGACCCATCATCAATATTACTTTTACAATTTACATCAAGAGTCGAGGAATGGAATAAGAACGATTCGAACCCTCATCTCAAGTCAGGATGCGTCAAACCGCGCCTGAGGTGAGAATCGCTGCCGTTAAACTTACTTCAAACTTCATAATAACAGCCAAGTATCTCGGTAAGTAATGAGAAACAGATCATCTTACCTTTGACAACGCGACTAAAAAGCACAAATGTAAAATCGAGGTTGTGCAAAGCTGAAGCCTTTATCTGATGTTTCTTAGGTCAACGTCAAAACAAGCGGGTTGCTTCGAGGGCTAACGGCGGCGTTGATTGGCTGATTTTTGGTATGGTTTTCCAATCTTGTGATTGGCTCATTTCTACTTAAAGTAATTGACTTCCAAAAAAAAAAAAAAAACGAACCTCTTATTTTCAGGCTTAGAAAGTCAGTTAAATTTAAATTAATGCATTTAGCAGATGCTTTTATCCAAAGCGACTTACAGTGCATTCAGGCTATACATTTTATGTCTGTATGTGTGTTTCCTGGGAATTAAACCCAGGACCCTTGCGCTGCTAACGCAATGCTCTACCACTGAGCCACAGGAACATCAGTTAAATCTATTTATGTTCAGACATGTAATCTTTTCTGATTTAGCTCTGCATGAATGCTAAAAGAACATATTTTTGGAGACTTTTGAACACAATAATAATTGTTTTAATCTAATATTACAAGGCCTGCAATGGAAGTCCTCTGCAGGAATCTCAATAAATTGGTTTTAAAATTAATTAAGAACTAGTGGAAAAGACATCTAAATTCATTGGTCAAAAAGTGTGTGAGCACTATATATATAGAGAGAAAGATTTCATATAAAGAATAATGCTATTAATATCATAATGGTTCTAAAACAGATCTTTACATTGCCTTCTCCCATTTCTCCCAATTCACGCAGTTCATGATCAAACACAACGCATTCTCCTCTCACCCCAGATTAACAAACACTGTTTCAAGTTTTAGGCTCTTTATTTCCACAAATAAATGTTTATACAGTGTAAGATTTTCTTATCAAGAAAAATGGCATTAACATCGTAATGGGATTTAACATAATTACATCAACCATAACCATTACTCACTACAAGTTACTGTAAATGAGTGATGCATCTGCTCAAACAGTTTTCACTCTTTTTTTAATGTGTCATCCTCAATCAGAAGTATGATGTTGAATCTACACCATGGTTATTTTAAGGTTCAAAGAATTTGGTGACTAATATTTAATGTCCCTGATATAATGTAAGAGAAACAAAAGGAGGATGCCAGCAGTTCACATATCAGTGAGCGAGAGATCATGTCGGTTTTGCTTAAATAACTATAAGTGACAGGATGAGCCAGAAAGGACGCAGATATGAAGCTTTCAAGCACGCGCCTGCTGTTTCTGTTTGAAGTCTGCGATTCTGCTCTCCATTAAAGGGCGGAAGTGACGGATCAGTCCCTGAGAGCAAAGAAATATAAATGCAAGTTTCAGTTAAAACATTTTTAGAGGTTTAGATTAATAATCATATATTCTAAAATAATTTGTCTATATAAATCAAATTATCTACTGATTCTAAAAATAAAATAAAATACTGCCTTTACCTGAACTGGCCATGCGGCTCCGTCTCCCAATGCGCAGATGGTGTGGCCCTCAATCTGCTTGCTGATCTCCCAGATCATGTCAATCTCTGCTGACTGTGCATCGCCTTTCACAAAGCGCCACATCATATTATTCATCCAGTCCACTCCTGAAAGGCACAGAAAAGACAGACTGGTAAATATTCACTGTAATGTAACACACTGTACATGTAAATACTGACAAATGTATATTCACATACATTTGTAGTATGTGACTACAATACACATACATTTGTAGACATACATTTGTAGTAATTCTTACCCTCTCTGCAAGGAGTGCACTGCCCACAGCTCTCGTGCTTGTAGAATTCAATCAAGCGGGCAATAGCTCGAATAACATCAGTCTGTGAAGAGGGAATGACCAAACAATCAAATTAGCAGACAGAACTTTAAAAAACATTGAATCCGGCCTATTGTAGTTCACTAATTTAGAAATGTCCCTATAGTAAAAAAAATGCTTATAGGAATTTGAAGTGAAGAAAAGGGGAGCAGTATAGCGTTTCAAAGTGGTCCATGTCCACAGAAACCACAAGTGTGTTAATTTTAGGAATGTCAACCGTTTACATTTTTTTATTTAATTAATTACATGATGTGCTGATTAATTATTGAAATTAATCACAAATTAATTGAAAATAAATTTGGGCTGAGAAGTGACCCACAGTCATTCTTGTGTTAAAAGAGAAAAGCAATTGAATAGACATTACAATAAAGTAGAAATATTTTGATTCAACATAGAATTTATTACACAAAACCAGTCATAAGTAGCACAGGTATATTTGTAGCAATAAACAATACATTGTATGGGTCAAAATTACCAATTTTTCTTTTATGCCAAAAATCATTAGGATATTAAGTAAAGATCATGTTCCATGAAGGTATTTTGTAAATTTTTCTACCGAAAATATATCAAAACTTAATTTTTGATTAGTAATATGCATTGCTAAGAACTTCATTTAGACAACTTTAAAGGTGATTTTCTAAATATTTTGATTTTTTTTTTTGCACCCTCAGATTCCAGATTTTCAAATAGTTGTATCTCTGGCAAATATTGTCCTATCATAACAAACCATACATCACTGGAAAGCTAATTCAGCTGTCAGATGATGCATAAATCTCAATTTAAAAAAAATGTACCCTTAATTTTTTATTATTTATTTTATTTTTTTGATACCTTAAATAAAAAACGAAAAGATCCAGTCAGTCTTAATGAGAGAGTCATTCAGTCAACCGATTCATTCAAATGGCTGATTCATTCAGAAATAAAGTGTCTGTCTTTATGAATTGGTCATTAAATCATTGACTCAATCGATTTGTTCAAAAATGTGGATTCATTCAATTACGAAAGGCACAACAGTTCTACTTTGACTTTGTTCAGAACTATTTTCGTTGCCGAAATTGAAAATATTGACAATAATATGACTAAAATGTAATACAACATTACCTTCTTTTTTATTGAACTGTTGTATAAAATCAATATCACATTTGCAATCATGCAGATATTCAGGAAAAACCAGCACTCTTGCTCCTGTGATATTGTTAACCTATATCGTACGATATAAATATAAGACAAAAACCCACACTGGGGCATATTTGCCCTCATATCTTGAATTTTAGGGGCATATAACTGCATTCTCACAGGCTCCATCATGCAGTTAAGTCTTCCTACCTCATGTTCGTCAGCAACTGCATGCAATATAAGATGATGTACTTGTCTGGGCAGGGCGGGGTGTGTTAAATGCATTAATCATTATTTTTTCCATAATTAATTGCACCAAATTAACACGTTAAATCAACAGCCCTAGCTATTTGACAAATCGACTTACTGATTTATCCATGACAATAAGTGCAGCTGTGCCAAGGCCAGTCTGAGCCTGAATGAGGGCATCAAAATCCATGAGAACGGTGTCGCACACATGACGTGGGATTAGTGGCGTGGAAGAGCCACCAGGAATAACACACAGGAGATTATCCCAACCACCCCGGACACCACCTACAGAGATCATATCAATCAAGTCTGAATAATCATCAAGATCGGACATGATTAGACCATGAACAAAGATTTCCGTGTACGGATGGAATGAGGTGTACCTGCATGTCTTTCAATCAGCTCTTTCAGAGGAACGGACATCTCTTCCTCCACTGTGCAGGGGTTGTTGACATGGCCTGAAATGTTGAAGAGCTTCGTGCCAGAGTTTCTCTCTCGGCCAAAACTCAGAAACCACGTGCCGCCACGACGGCAGATGGTTGGTGCCACAGCTACCGTTTCAACATTGGCAACAGTTGTTGGACAGCCAAACACACCTGCAACAAGAACATGTCAAATTTATCACTTTAAGTAAAATACAATGAATCACATTAAAAACATGTCACATTTACAACGTGTCACATATACAAAATGTAATGCAAAAAATACATATATTAACATATTAAAAACATGTAACATATCATGTCACTCATAGAAAATAAAATAACATATAATATCAAAAATAAATGTAAAAATAAAATGTAATTTTCTGTTTGTTTGTGTCTAACTTACCCACATCAGC